CTCGATACGCGCCGTCTTTCAGCATTTCTTCGGCGACGGTTTTCAGTCTTTCCAAGATCGTTTCGCAAGCCATCTGCGTTGCGCGACCGTTCAGATCGGCGGCGGCGGAAGCCGCTGTCGGCGAAGTGTTGGCGATTCGCAAAGTATTGGTTGTGTGAACTTTAATGCGTTCGATCGGTTGGGAAAAAACTTTTGCGGCGACCTGCGCGATTTTCGTGTTTACGCCTTGTCCCATCTCGACCGCGCCCGTCGAAACTGCGACCGAGCCATCCGTATAAATATGAACGAGCGAACGCGCCTGATTCATCGGCGTTTTGGTAAATGAAATCCCGAAACAGATCGGCATCAGCGCAACGCCTTTTTTGATTAATTTGTTTTCTTTATTGAATTCATCCGTTTCGCGTTTCAATTTTTCAAAATCGTATTTTTCATCGGCTTGCGTCCACGACGTTTCGGCTTCCGATTCGGCGATTTGCCCGTAAGGGAATTCGTCGCCGTTTTTAATAAGATTTTTCCTTTGGATTTCTTCACGCGAAACATTCAATTTTTCCGCTGCGTGTGCAATTGCCGATTCGATGACGAACATTCCCTGCGGTCCGCCGAAACCGCGAAACGCCGTGTTCGGCGGCAGATTCGTTTTGCAGGAATACGCGGTCGCCGAAACATTCGGGATAAAATATGAATTCGTGCAATGAAAAAGTGTACGTTCCAAAACAGGTAACGACAAATCGCAAGCCGCGCCCGCGTTTTGATAGAAAGTCGCTTGATAGGCGACGATCTTTAAATCCTTATCCAGCCCGATTTTGTAATCCGCCGAATAAGGATGACGTTTGCCCGTCATGCGCATATCTTCCATCCGGTGAAGCGCGTATTTTACAGGCTTTTTCGTGATTTGCGTGCCGACCGCGCACAGTGCCGCCCAAGCGTTTGCCTGATCTTCCTTGCCGCCGAAACCGCCGCCGAGACGCGTGACATCAACTTCGATCTGGTGCATCGGAATCGCCGTGACACGCGAAACGGCGCGTTGAACCGCCGTCGGACCTTGCGTTGAAGAATAGATTTTCAAACCGCCTTGTTCAGACGGAACGCAATATGCGCCCTGCGTTTCGATGTAAAGAT